CTCTAGATATACAGCAGGAGCATTGGAACATATATGGCAGCAATATTCTGAGCATGGATGAATGGTAGACTTATATATAAGATAGATAGATTCCGGAGAGAAAAATTGAAATATCTCCAAAAGGCATGGCATATAGAGTTAGAACAATCTACCTCTGTGGACTAACTAATGGGTTCAGTTTGAAATTCCAACATATATATCCTGAAGTAAGCATACAATAGCCGAAACGTCATGCATATGGCAATAAAGATGAGGACAACAGTTTGAGCTATGTAAATAGTGTAAATAGCTACAATACTTCATCTCAAAAATATAAACAAATTTTTATTTATCAGAATAAATTTAGGAAAATCTACGACAAAGTGAAAAAAATTTTTCAGTTAACCAGTTTTGTCCTTTAGGACTTCATTGGACTAAAGTGATGCTTATGTTGATGTGTTTACACATGTGCATGAAGGAGATGGGGACAAAATTTAAATTTTAACATTTCAGCATTCCCTCACCTTCATTAACATGTGTAATCACACCAATGTAAACAGCACTTTACTCCTGTAATATCTTAAAGGACGAAATGTATCACATGGAAAAAATTTTCAACTTTGTAATAGATTTTCCTAGCATAAATAATCATACAAGTTTCTTTAAAAAGAAAAAAAGTAATTTTTTTTAAATATAAATATCTAAATTTATATCAACATAAGATAATTACAAGATTATTCAAATGTGTGTACTATAGTTTTGCATAAATCTGATATTTGTTGAACAAACTTTGAAATGTTTATCTACAAAAATATCAAAAGATTGACATTTGGCCTTCAGTTGGATTTTTCCTATCCAAGGATCTCTACCTACCTGCCAGACCATTCTGAAAAAGAGTAGTAAAATTAAAAGTAAAAATAGCTTTGACATAAAAAGCCATAATCTATCAGCTCTCAGATATTTAAGTTAAACTGGGTCTATTGATTTAAAGTAACCTTTTTTTGCTATTTTTTGAGCCGAAGGGAATGCCAACCAGTAAATGCTAATTAAGTTTCTATATTTACAGAATATTATTATTGATAGTCATTAATTTGCTCAGAATATCCCCATGTGATCTCTAATTGCCTCCCTCTCACCCAATATTGTCAGTTGGTGTGGCTTGGATTACAAAGTGACTTCAGCTATCTATCTTGATCCTATTCTTTATATATCATCTCAAGCATTAATAAAATATACACAACATCTATCCATATACTGTGTGTTTATGTCACTAGAAGAGTTCACTGCATAAAGGCAATATTGGCCAATTCCATTATAAGGAAACATTCAGCATTCATTAACTGAATAGCCAGTGCTACTCTGAGTTGAAATTTATAAAATCTTTCTATTAAAACAATTTTTCAGAAAAATATATTTTCACTAAATGTCCTTTCCAGTATTGATGGGGATTTCTTTCTTAAACTTTTGTTTGAAGTAGTGTGGAACCTCAACATCTTAATTATGTTATTATTTTCTCTTTGAGTTACATGTGATATCCATTTTAGTTGTTGCTGTTGTTGTAGAAAGTTTTTACAACAATTTTTTGTGATTCTGTAGCACCAGTCCATAAGATTCAAAGAAGGATGGTCCTTTTGATTTAAAAAATGTAACACTAATTATAAGAGAAAGCAATTTACTAAGACAAAAATACATAAAAAGTGCTTTAATCACTATATCATCCAAAGTAAATTTATGTCCAATATTTCACCTTTCTTGGCAGATCTTCTATTATCACAATATGGGATACTTAATAATAAAAGTGATAAAAAAAAAAAACATGAAAAGAAGATCTGCCAAGAAAAGTTAAATGATGCAAGAAGCTGTGGATGATCTAACAATCAGATTCTTATAATATTTCACCTTTCTTGGCAGATCTTCTATTATCACAATATGGGATACTTAATAATAAAAGTGATAAAAAAAAAACATGAAAAGAAGATCTGCCAAGAAAAGTTAAATGATGCAAGAAGCTGTGGATGATCTAACAATCAGATTCTTACAATATTTCACCTTTCTTGGCAGATCTTCTATTATCACAATATGGGATACTTAATAATAAAAGTGATAAAAAAAAACATGAAAAGATACTTAATAATAAAAGATCTGCCAAGAAATGTTAAATGATGCAAGAAGCTTTGGATGATCTAACAATCAGATTCTTACAACATTTCACCTTTCTTGGCAGATCTTCTATTATAAAAAAAACATGAAAAACAATGTGGGATAGCTGGTGGATGATAACAAAAATGATGGAAATGTGAACAAAGAGAAAAGAAACTAAATGAAACTGGCTAGAACTTTGAACACGGATCCTTTGACTTGTTTCAACAGACAGTTCTTTTGTTGGAGCCATGGTTCCTTTCAATTAGGCATGACCAATCATTTGTTGAGGTCTGTGAGGTTTCTTTTAACTGTAGACTGACTTGCATATCTAAGTTTCTGCTACTATTTGTTTCAAAAGTGAAAATTACAAAATCATTCCATCAACTTTTCCTTAATATTGACTTATTCCATAATTTTCCTCTGTATGGCTTGGTAAAAAATTATAGCATTATTTTGAATAATTTAATCTAGTTTGCTTAAGGTATATCATATAAAGCCAGAATGTCCTGCTATTAAATAAAAGCATCTCTGTATCTTTAATGTTTTCTATGTAAACTGTAAGCAGCATTTGATGAATATAAGTGTGGGTCAATGTATCTGTCACAGATATTAGCAGCATTTTAATAATGTAATGCATAATGTTCATTATGTCACTTCAACATTGAATTAAGAACATTGATTGACAAGTGATTATATTTAAAAATAAATATTGTTATGCAAAGTAAATACTTTTTTTTTCTTTATCTTCATGCCTACATACTATGAAGTCATGTTTTCTAAATGATCAGTTCACTATGTTGTATTTGAGTCACTTCTCAACAAAATATTTTCTGACTAAACTGATGATGTGAAATGATGAGTGAATAGTTGCCAGGCAACTAATCTTGTTGAGAATTTGTTAAGAACAGCAACAACAGATACTGAAGCAGAAAATGGTGATTGGATGTTTAGGTGTGTAGATAAAAGGTGATTAAGTAAATATGTATGCATACCTTATATAGATATATACAAATTAGTGGTGGGACAATACCAATATTTTTACCAATTCTGATACAATTCTTAATACTGTTCTAAATTTCTGATTCCAATATGATTCCTGATTCCGATTCTTACAATGATTAAAAATTCATTATTTTCAGACCCTACAGTTGGTTTGGGAAACTTAATGAACAAAGTACATTTATAAATAAAACATTTAGTAGAAAAATAAATACAAAAGAAATAAAGTTAGATATCTTTTTTCTTTAAAAAATTGGATAAGAGATTAAACAATAAAGAGTACAATTTCTTTACGTAAATCACTTAAGTCATCATACTAAACTTAGGTGTAATTATGATCTATAGATTTTAGTTTTACTGATAGATTAAAATCAATAGATATTTATATTTTTGTATCATTAGTACCAGGGATGAAAAATTAAGTTTTAAACAAAAAAAAACAAAAAAAAACAAAGAATCATTTTTGGAATTGGAAAAATTCCGATTTTGATGCCGATTCTCCAAAAAGCTCTGATATTTTTGACTTGCAATTTCAATTCCGATTAATCATCCTATCACTAATACAAATATGTTATATTTAGATGCATTTTTATACAAACGTGGGTTTGACAGGAAAAACATGTATGTATGGTGTGTTGGTTGGCAATGTAAGTTAGTCAAATATTTGTAACTTTAGTAGTTACAGCTTAAGAGTTAATTTTGGTTACATCTCATTAGCAATTTTACATTATTGCTCTAACCCTAACCTCTCTGCATTTTGAGAATTTTTTTTTACTATGCTATGATTTGACGCAACATGGAAAGAAACAATGAAGATAATGCTTTACTGAAAGCCAATTTTACATGCAAATTCCAAGAGAGGATAGAAAAAAATTGTAAATTCTTTGGGTAAAATGAATATGTGAATAGAGAGGTAAAATGAATGAATGGGAATAGAGAGGTAAAACGAATGCATGGGAATAGAGAGGTAAAACGAATACACAAAAAGAGAGATAAAATGAATGTGTGAAAAGAGATGTAAAACAAATACATGAAAAAAAAAAGAACAAGGTAAAATGAATACATAAAAAGAGAAAAAGACAAAAAAGTATGAGAAAAAGAAAAAATCTCAAATTGTACAGATAAAATGAATATCCAAAAGCCCATATTCTTGTAAATTCTCAAGATGTAAAATGCAAAAATGTTCAAACAAAATCTTTGTGTTATTTCTTGTTTGTCTTGAACCTGAACAAATAGTATTTAATCACCAACCATAAATTCCTGCCGATTAGATTTTCTCTTGAGAATTTTTTAAGCAATTAACATATTCTTGAGGATGTATATAGAAACCTCTTTTCATCAAGAGAGTAAATAAAAACCTAACTCGTGATTCAAATTTGCTTTGTATATTCCTACCAGGATATGTAGGTAGAATAACAGTTGTCAGTGCCAAAAGTTGAATCATCAAACTGAGTTAAACTCCAGTCATATCCATAGTATTCACTTTTGATGGTTTGGTTTGGTTTTCTTTCTACTTAATGGCTATTCAAACACTATGGGGTTATTTAAGGCTAGATAAAGATTTTGAATTGTGGTTGTTTTGGGTATAGATTGATGTTATATAGGGATCAGTGATAATTTTAGATTAGTTGATGAAAGTTATTTTCAACAATAGAGTGTCAAAATAAATTTACACAAAGAATAATAGTTGAATAATTGATTGACTGATTTGTTTCTATGGTTCATCAACCCTTTGAAGGCTATATAAAGCCAGATAGCTAGGGTGGAGGGAATCATACCTTTCCTAAAAGCAAATATAACGAACCCAATGGGAATTGGAATTTGCTTCTCAATTTAACAATTCTGGGCCATTATCCATTAGACCATCCACACATCCAAGGTTACAGCACCTGGTATTCCCAAGTGATCAGCCATCTAGTTACTGACCAGGCTCAATGTTGCTTAACTTCAGTGATCCTACAGGAACTGGTGTTTTGATGTGATATGGCCAAAGGGCAATAGTTGAATAAGAAAATGAATATAGTTTAATAATATCTAACAGATCCTATGCTGTTAGTAAAGATTATTTTAATTCCTGAACACTGGCAAGCTTTTCTTTTCCTGATTTTTATTGCACAACATACATATATAAATGTTAAGCAATACATTGCAAAATTCAATGAATCATTATCAAGATCATTTTTCCTTACTGCTAGAAATATTTGTTTTGTTACTGCAGCAAATAGTTAAAAGGAAGTGGTAAAGTAGCGATAAAGTTAATAAGTTGTGATAAGAAAAACTGAAATCTTACCTAAGTATACCAGGTGCAAATGCAGCTGGTGCTAATATATACCCACAATTATTGTTCCATCACCTCCACCAGAATGTGCTCTTTCCCAACATGTATAATAATCATTAGAATGAATATTTAATAAATCCTCTCTGTGATATTACAGGATATATAAAGAACATTAAATATATAATATCCATAATTTGTAAAATGGATTTTTGAGATAGCTTTTTAAGTAGCTAGGAACTATTTTTATTTTGTTTTTTAATATTGCAGAACAGTGCTGATATGTTATCAGGGTAGGATTATCCTGCAGCCTCATGCCCCCTTGAGCAATGATTTTAATTTTCTAGATGTTATAACATCTAAATAGTTTCATAAATTGAAATGATATCAATATGACAAACTCATATTTATTTGAATTTGCAGGAAGCAAAGCAAGGAAAAGAATGTTTTAGTTTGTGTCATTGTGTTTCAAGTAGATAACATTTGTTTTTAGTTCAGAATGTTTAAATCTTAGAATTTTTTATAAAGCAGAGATTCTAATTTTTTAGATGCTATAATTTCTAGTTTCACAACTCTATTTTGATTGTTTTATTGTTATAATGCTGGTTATAAAAACTCTGTCTTTTTTACTACAGTTGTGTTGAAATATGTGCTAATTTGGTTGGCAGTAAAGAGTAGAGAAAGAATAGAATAAAGGAAAAAGAACAAATCTAAAAGAAAGATAAAAGGCAAAGAAAAGTGGAAAAATACATAAAGAGATTTAAAGAGGGTACAAGAATAAGGAGGGAATAAGAGGGTACAAGAATAAGAGGGTACAAGAATAAGGAGTGAATAAGAGGGTACAAGAATAAGGAGGGAATAAGAGGGTACAAGAATAAGGAGGGAATAAGAGGGTACAAGAATAAGGAGGGAATAAGAGGGTACAAGAATAAGGAGGGAATAAGAGGGTACAAGAATAAGGAGGGAATAAGAGAGTGCAAGAGCGGGGAGGGAAAAGAGGATGCAAAAACAGGGGAGTGAAAAATAATGTGCTAGAATGGGGAGGGAAAAAGGATGCTAGAATGGGGAGGGAAAAAGAGTGCTAGAATGGGGAGGGAAAAGGTTGCTAGAATGGGGAGGAAAAAAGGGTGCTAGAATGGGGAGGAAAAAAGGGTGCTAGAATGGGGAGGAAAAAAGAGAGGTAAAACGTGCATGAGAGACAAGAGGTAAGATGTGCACATGGGAGATGAGAAGTAAGATGTGTGTGGGAGAAGAGAGATAAAACATGCACATGGGAGAAGACAGGTAAAATGTGCACATGGAAGAAGACAGGTAAAAATGTGCACATGGAAGAAGACAGGTAAAAATGTGCACATGGAAGAAGACAGGTAAAAATGTGCACATGGAAGAAGACAGGTAAAAATGTGCACATGGGAAAAGAGAGGTAAAAGATAAAAAAAAGAACAAGGAAAAAGGAAGAGAATTAAAAAAAAGAGAAAAAACAGAGGTAAAGATAAAGAATAAAAGTTTCAAATTGTGTAAATAAAATGAATAAACCCAGTTAATAAAAACTAAGTCATCTTCTTGTAAGAAGCAACAATGTTAAAACCAAATCTTTGTGTTATTTCTTGTTTGTCATGAACTTGAACAAAAAGAGTTAATAAACAACCATAAATTCATAAGATCATATTTTCTTTTGACAATTTTTTAGCAATGATAGCCACAGGAAAGGCATGTACCTTAAAACTCCTCCTATACAAAAACAAAGCAAACTTGGATCAAATCAAAAGCTGACCAAAAATAACTTTTTACACTTAGTCCCACTGCCCACAGCCTTGTCTTCTATCAGGTAATGAATGGAAAGTAACAATGAAACTGAGTGAATAGAACTTATCAGTCTGCTCTCTCTCCATAATTACTGCCCAAGTTATAATAACAGCTCCTATATCAATTGTAAAGTCATGCCAACTGAAGGTCAATTGTTATATTTTGTTTTTCTTTATGTGCATTACTGTAGTTAACTGTACAGTATGTATTTAAGTAAATGATAAATATTTAAGCAAACAAATTTATTTTAATGAGAGTAATGACAAAAGAGACAGAAGTGATTCTTCACAATTGTATATCATAACAGAAGAGTTGATTCTTATATGTAATGTAAACGTCCAAGTTGGGCATGAGTGACTTAGATATGCTTGCGTCTTTTGCACTGGCATCAATATGATTACTGAGTTCCTGTCTGTAGTGCAATGAGGAGGATACAGCCATGGGCAGCTGTTCCCCAGGATTGGACACCTCTCAGTATTTTTTTTTCCAGCTGTATCTCTCTCTGTGAATAGAGCCACAACTGAGTCACACTCTGCCCAAAGACAGAGAGCAACTGAGAGATGATAATCCTACCCAGCATAGGCTGCGAATCACCTGTAGAAGGCATACAACAGATGAAACATTGTGAATATGGCTATGAAGATAATGATAACGATCCGAATAATGTAAATATTGTAAGATTTTACTGAACTTTTCAGAAATTATTCAGCAATGATTAAAATATTTTTTTTTTCAAATTTTGTAGAAATGTTTTTAGGGCTGTCATATAATCAAAATATACATGTTCACATGCAGACATACATACACACAATTTGAATGAAATTAAAATAGACATTTGTGTGGTTAGGTTTCATTTCCGTTTTTGTCTGGCAACAATCCCAAGGTAACAGGAAATGAGTACAAGCTAAATGTGCAGCCCTTTGAAATCATTTTATGACTCCTGTATTTAAACTGAATATATATTCCTAATAAATATAGTATTTTCAGTGGAAAAAAAATTTAATTTTAAATTTGATCATCCAGACAACTGAAACTCATGATTTTATAACAAAGCAGCAAAAATCTAACTCCTTTAAAAATCAAATGTTTTCATTTAGAAGAGGATGCAAATCACTGGATTTAAATTTATATACATTGTAAGACTTTAGTCAACTATCACAGTTCTCTCTTTTATAAAAGCACAATCTCTCTGTTGGCTTAAGTTATAAGTTTATTTTTTTTCTTAACTCCTCAGATTGTTTTATAAGTACATTTGTAGATGCTTATCACTATAACCATCTATTATGTGTCTGCTAGAGCATGAAAGCTCACCAAATAATCACATTCCAGTCAGCAGTACAATGCTTCACAAATCAATTTCTTTCCTCTGGGTAACACTTGCAAAAACATTAAGGATTTTCATGAATGACTAAACAACATTTGCAAATGTCAATAGGACTATACAATAATAAATGCCCAGAAACACATCAGAAAAAAAAAGTTCAAGATAAAAACATAAAAATAAAAGATTACTTTTTTTAACTGGTTTCATATTGTAGATGTGTTGTTTAGAAAAAAGCATACCATCTCTGAAAGATGTGTGAATAGCATAACTTATGGCCACTTGGAAAAAAAATCAGTGAATTCAAATTTCAACCTAGTCTGTCCTTTCTCACAAAGGCCCTTGGGAAATGCAGGAGTCCATCTTCCTCCCCCATCAGTTATGGATTAAATAGCAGGGTAGATTAGACTTAGCAGTCAGTCTTGAAGGACTTCTTTGAATTTCAAACTATTCCATCATTCTTCCTCAAAAGTTATGGCAATTCATAAATAATAAAGAAAAGTAATATATAGAGACCAATAATCACCTATGCCCTGAAGAGACATGGCATTAAAAAATTGTAGTATGTGTAGGTAGTGTAGCAGACATTGGTAAGGAAGTGGAATTAACAAATTCCATTCAAATTCTAGGTTAGTCTGTTGCATTTACTTTCACAATAATGGTCTTGGAAAAAGTATGAATCAGTCTCTTCTGAACTAGGCTATAGCTTAAATAGCAGAGACCAAGTTCTCTTGTTTGTAGTCTAAGAGAAGAAAAAGTGAATTCCAAACTTTGGAAAAGACAATGGGAAACCACTCCACTATGTTTTCAAAGAATGCTTGACAGTAAAGAAATCTGTGGAGAATCATAACCATCCATGGCCCAAAGGGACATAACATTAAAATATATATTATCTTTGTCCTATAATAGTTGTTTGGTTTAGTTTAGTTCAGTTTAATTTAATTAACGTCATATCAACTCCTTATGGTTTAATGCTGAAATTTAATTTTCATGAGAGCCTTGGTAATTTTTTTTCCTATTAAAATCTATTGCTAGAATTTTTTCTATAAAACTGTATTTTTATACTTTTATTGTTTTGACCCCATTTTGGGGGTTCACTATTTGCCCATAGCTGGGACCCTTAAAGATGCTACCACCTCAAGTCAGGATGAACCTTGGAACAACAACAATTAAAACATGGTTCTACACTCCTCAAAACTTCCCAATCCTTGCTACCAGATGTAGTTTATCATCGTACCCAAGACATTATAATAGTTGTTACATTTGCATATATATGTCATACACTAAATATAACAACTATTATGAGACAAAGAAAGCACTACTTTACCAGATTGTAAAAATGAAAATATAAAAAAAAGAACTTCAGAATTTTGATAACCTGTAGTGATGACTGTAATACCCAATTGTTTTTAATTCATTTTTAAACATGAATAAAAATTCCTCAAGACAATGTAAAATGAGCAAAATATCTCTTTCTTATTCTTTCAAGTCTTGTTAGTTAATGGACCATTTACCTATGGTTCTCTTTTGTTAGTTGAATACATGATCTCTCTCATACTCTCTCTTGGTAGGCTAATATTTACCCAAA